AAAAAAAAAAAAAAAAAAAAAAAAAAAAAAAAAAAAGAAGAAAGAAAAGAAAGAAAGGCAAGGAAGGAAAGAAGGAAGGGAGGGAGGGAAAGAAAGGAAGAGAGAAGCCACTTGAAGTTAGTGGTCACGAATTTAAAGTGAGCTGTTAGGCCGGGCGCGGTGGCTCACGCTTGTAATCCCAGCACTTTGGGAGGCCGAGGCGGGTGGATCACGAGGTCAAGAGATCGAGACCATCCTGGTCAACATGGTGAAACCCCGTCTCTACTAAAAATACAAAAATTAGCTGGGCATGGTGGTGCACACCTGTAGTCCCAGCTACTGGGGAGGCTGAGGCAGGATAATTGCTTGAACCCAGGAGACGGAGGTTGCGGTGAGCCGAGATTGCGCCATTGCACTCCAGCCTAGGTAACAAGAACGAAACTCCGTCTCAAAAAAAAAAAAAAAAAAAAAAAAAAGTAAGCTGTTAATGGCACAGTTCAACTGCATAGGTGCACACACAAAGGAGGGTGGGTTGAATTTAACCAGGATTGTGGCTTTGCTAAGTGAGTAGGCAAAAGCAATGTAAGGAGGCAATAGAATTGGGGAATATATATAGAGGTATATATATAAAGATTTACTAGGAATTTAATCCAGGCAAGGAGGTAGGAGAAGACTCATGAGAAATGAATGACAGTGGAAATGTGATGAGATCAATAGACTGGCGATCCCAGTAAAGTTGAGAGGTTGTTGGAGTTGCAGTACTAGAACAATGAGCTGGAAAGGCAGGTGTTATTCAGAAAGGGAGAAAACAACGCTATTTCTGTTTGGGGTCAGCATTCTAGCATCTGAACAGACATTCTATTGTTTGAGGGTCACTTACCTGCTAACCACCACACTCCCCTTTTTGTGTAGGAGGACAGGTGTTTTGCATGGAGCACTTATTTCTCCCTTCTAGTCTCTCTCAATGTGATGATTCCATGCAGTCAAGTCTTTTTTTTTTTTTTTTTTTCCAAGAGTAAATAAAATCTGCAGACAGGCAAGGCAGCATGACAAGCAGGGTCTCCGTGGAAGGTCGTGCAGTTTGTACACTGCACAAAGGACGCCAGGCTGAGGGAGCAAGTGGGGCTGAGATCCATCTGAGCTCTGCACACTGAGCTGTGGCCCCATCACCAGCTGACTTTTTTGGCGCACAAAAGCTCATGCCCTGCCACCATGGGCCTGTTCCTCAGGTCATGCCTTTCCTACTTCCCAGAAAGGTGCTATGTAGGCCAGGAGCTCTGATGAAGACTGCATATGCACCATGAGGTTTTAGCCAGAGGGCTGGACTTGAGGGAGATGTGCCCTTTTGTTGAGAAATTCCTTGTGGACTTGTATCCTCAAATTGCTTCAAGTGTTCAGTCTTTTTGAAGGAAGAGACCCGATATTGTACTTCTCAATTATATGCATAGGGTAGCTCTTGATACCTACCAAATACAGTTTCATTTGGATAATTAGGTTTTGCTTTTCCCAAAACCAGTAGTTGGCTTTCTAGGAGATCACTGCTATGTGAAAAAAACAATGAGGGGTCATTGGCCTCTCCACTGTTTCTTGTCTATTTATCAGGAAAACCTTAGATTAGACTAATATATTTATGAACAACCAGTTGAATGTTTTTTTTCCCCTGATAAGTAATGTGAAAGTGAGCAGAAATTGCTTAGATAGGTTACAGGGGTAAAGAAATTTGACTTGCACATTTACTGTTTAAGGTCTTCTTTAATATATCAGCTCATTTTGAGAGCTCTCATTTATCAGTGGTTTTTGAGTGTTCGGGCACCTTCTGCAAATGTTGCAGTTTCCTTAATCCAAATGTCTATTAAACTACATACAAAAACATCTGCAAAGGCTTTCTTTTTTTTTTTTTTTTGTAGGAATTCTGGCAATAACTACTCATTGAAGTAAAAATCTAATACAGAGCACAGCTTCGTAGAGACAAAATAACCCATGCTTACAGTAAGCAAATGTTAGTGTGTAGGATGAACTTCAACAAAAACAAAGGCTATTTTTTATAGTCAAAAACAAAGGCACACTTTTATAGTCAGTAGTTAATCTAGGGAAGGCAGCTAATGAGGTAGTTCAGTGTCATTTCCCCTGACTTACTGGTAGAAAATGAAAGATTATTCAACTAAGCCAACAAGAAAATCATGTATCCCCACCTCTAAGCTATTTCTGGGTCCTTGTGAAGAATTTGTAAACTCCCTGATGCTCTCCCTTTAGGCACATGGAATATTTTCACCAACACGGACAGCAGTGCTGATTCTGACGCTGCAAGCACAGCACAGTTCTCAATTATTTCCCACTGGTGGCGCTTTCACCAAAGGCCACGCGACTGTTCTGAACCCCTTTCAGGACATCACTGTTTCCTCTTTTATCTTTGCCTAGAAATGTAATGTTTGGGCAAAGAAGGAAAAGGGGAAGTAAGAAGCAGGGATGAGTGGGAGAGAGATAGCAGGAAAGAGGGGTGGGAACCTGGACGCTGCAGCTTTCTCACAACCCCTGACAGGGTGTGTCGTGGGGGATGCTCATTATTTTACTTAAGAGTACAGTGAGATTCCAGAACATCAGCCATATCTCAAGTCTAACCTGGGCATAAAATTGCATGCTAAAATAAAAGACATTTTTCCCCAAATAATTTATTAAAAATTAATATGACATTTGTGTGGAAATTAAGACCAAATTGCAATACGTTTTCCATTTCCAATGTACAAAGAGTTTTGTACCTGAGAATGGCAAATTCTAAATAATAAGTAAAATAAATGTGAAATTTATTTAAATAGACTGAGCCACAGATTAATCTTAATTAAGTGATGTTTGGTTGACGGGAGAGAAAATGCTCCGTTGGAATTGTTGTAAGAACTTTCAAATGTGCTTGACTTGCATGTATTTAAAGATATAATAAAGGCTGGGCGTGGTGACTCATGCCTGGAATCCCAGTACTTTGGGAGGCTGAGGTGAGTGGATCGCCTGAGGTCAGGAGTTAGAGACCAGCCTGGCCAGCATGATGTAACCCCATCTCTACTAAAAATACAAAATTAGCTGGGCATGGTGGCTCATGCCTGTAGTCCCAGCTACTCAGATGGTTGAGGCAGGAGAATTGCTTGAGCCCACGAGGCAGAGGTTGCAGTGAGCCAAGACTGCACCACTCCAGCCTGGGAGACAGAGTGAGACTCCATCTCAAAAAAAAAAAGATATATTAAAAAGAGGCGGGGCATGGTGGCTCATGCCTGCAATCCTAGTACTTTAGGAGGCTGAGACAGGAGAATCATCTGAGGTCAGGAGTTCATGACCAGTCTGGCCAACATGGTGAAACCCCATCTCTCCTAAAAATATAAAAATTATGCAGGCATGGTGGCACATGCCTGTAATCCCAACTACTTGGGAGGCTGAGACAGGAGAATAGCTGGAACCCAGGAGGCGGAGACTGCAGTGAGCCAGGATCGCACCATTGCACTCCAGCCTGGGTGATACAGTGAGACTCCATCTCAAAAAAAGGAAAAAAAAAAAAAAAGAAATAAAAGAATCTTAGTTTAACAGTTTCAGTTTATAGCTCCAGAGATGGGGGTGAGGATGATTGACTATGCATTTGATATGTGTCTTATTAATCATAAAGTTCTTTACCCCATAGCAAAGTAAATGCGAAGCTTATCTGCATAAAAAGAATAAACAACATCTCAGCCAATAAACCAGAGAATCTTATGCTGCACAAATGTGCAGTTTTTACTGAGTTGCCGGTTTTCTTTTATACCATGCATTTATTTCCCTCTGAATTAATCACAGATATTTTCTTTAACATAAGCTTTTTGTTTTTTTGAGGTGGAGTTTTGCTCTTTTTGCTCAGGCTGGAGTGCAATGGCTCTATCTTGGCTCACCGCAACCACCCCTCTGACCCCCGGGGTTCAAGCGATTCTCCTGCCTCAGCCTCCCGAGTAGCTGGGATTACAGGTATCCACCACCACACCTGGTTAACATAAGCTATTTTAAGGGTAAACTTTATTCCTGAATATCTTCAGATACATTCTGTTAGTTCAAACAAACTCAGGCAGACATTAATCCAATTTGAATAACTACATGTGAATGAAGCTACAGTATTATTCAATCCAGAGTGTCACTTCCTTTCACGAAGGATTGCTATGCATAAATATAAAAGTATTTTATCTTCTGATGCTTTCACTTTTGAAGTACTCCCTTCAAAGGATGTAAACAAATATTAAACAAAGGAGCTTTCAAAATGTTCTGTTAGGCTATGATTTGAGGGGGAGATGAGTAGAAATGGCTATGATAGTTATTTTACTGGAGATCTTTGGTAATATGTGAAAATATAAACTAACTCAAACAAACTCATTTTTCCCTGAAACTTTTGGTGTAAAATTATATATTATTTTGAGACAGATACTCTGTTGCCCAGGCCAGGCTGGAAGACAGTGGCATGATCTCGGCTCACTGCACCCTTGATCTCCTGGGCTCCAGCGATCCTCCCACCTCAGCCCACTCCCAAGTAGCTGGGACTACAGACGCATGCCACCACTCTTGGCTAATTTTTATATTTTTTTGGTGGAGATAGAGTTTCACCATGTAGCCAAGGCTGGTCTCAAACTCCCAGGGCCCAAGCAATCTGCCCACCTTGGCCTCCCGAAGTGCTGGGATTGTAAGTGTGAACCACTGCATCCGGCCTATTATTATTTTGAAAGGTTATTCTGTTTTTACTGAAATGTAACAAACATTTATTGAGCCCCTGCTATATTATTATATAGTCCATTCCTACCAGGCTATTGCAGACGTTGATGATCTTATCTCTTCCTTTGTGTATGTATGTGTGTGTGTGTGTGAAGCTGTTTGTATATTTTTGGTTAGTATGCTTGTGAAGCAGCTAGGAGAAGTCTCATCCACTTTTTATCAGTTGGTTGGTTTTATAAAGCGTCTCAGAAAGTGGACACAGAAATCACAGATCTGCCGTTACTATTTTTTCTTTGAAGATACTTTGGAGATTCATTTTTTTGACTGGCATTGCCATGCTCATTCAGTGAAACCTTGTAGGGTATAGAAATGGAACAGAGTTTTAAACAGTTCTGCAGAAACTGTACTTTGGGTTCCAGACTTCACCGTCCTTGGCATCCAAACCATCACCTAGTTTGCATTCTTCATGACTGAGTTTCACTTAAAACAAAAATGGTAGGAAGGCCTTCCTATGCTTTGGGTAGGAGATAAATTTGCTTTTGTAGAATTGGTGGCTGAGAAAGGCAAACAGGGCCTGACTAAAGAAGACATATGTCACCACTAGCCACCAAGTTAAGTTGTGGAACCCAAAGGTGACAGCCATGGAAATGTAGATCATCAGCTCTGCTAAGTAGTTAGGGGAAGAAACATATTCAAACCAGTCTCCAAATGGGATCCTGTGGTTACTGTGAATGACCACTCCTGAAAGGGTAAAAGAAGATCTCATAAACATTTAAAGGTTTGAAAAGAAAGTTTCACCACTTCACTCCCAAATCATTTACAGAAGCTTTTTTTTTTTTTTTGAGACCAGGTCTTGCTCTGTTGCCCAGGCTGGAGTACCTTGGTGCAATCATGGCTCACTGTAGTCTCAGCCTTCCAGGCCCAGGCAATCCTCCCATCTCAAACTCCCCAGTAGCTAGAACCACAGATGCACACCACCATGCCTGGTTAATTTTTTGAAGTTTTTGTAGAGACAGGGTCTGCTTATGTTGCCCAGGTTGGTCTCAAACTCCTGGGGTCAAGTGATCCTCCCACCTCGGCCTCCCAAAGTGCTGGGATTACCAGTGTGAGCCACTCTCCCAGCCCAGAAACTCTTATTTAGAAAAGAGTATCACACATGTGTGTAAACCACCATCCTGTCATACTTCTGTTTTTTTTTTTGAGATGGAATATCATTCTTGTTGCCCAGGCTGGAGTGCAATGATGTGATCTTGGCTCACTGCAACCTCTGCCTCCCAGGTTCAAGCTATTCTCCTTCCTCAGCCTTCCAAGTAGTTGGGGTTACAGGTATGCACCACCATGCCTGGCTAATTTTTGTATTTTTAGTAGACATGAGGTTTCATCATGTTGGTCAGGCTGGTCTCGAACACCTGACTTCAGGTGATCTGCCCACCTCAGTCTCCCAAAGTGCTGGGATTACAGGCGTGAGCCACCGTGCTCGGCCTGTCTTGTCACACTTCTACTGTCAGTCTATTACATATTGAAAAGTCATATAGTTGGGTTAAATTGTCAACTGTCAATAAGCACAAGAGGAAAGCCAGCTACTCCAGCAATCCTCCAAGCTAGTAATTAAGAGCTCAGACTCCAGAGTCAGACTGCACAAGTTCAAATCTTGGCTCTCCCACTTACTAGCTGTGTAACTTTAGAAAAGTTGCTTAACCTCTTTGTTCCTTAGTTTTCTCATCTGTAAAATGAAGACTGGACTGTACTCATCTCAACCGGGCATGTGAAGCTATACGTAAAACACTCAGAACAGGGCCTAGCACAAAATAAGTACTTGATAAATATTAAATAAAACTATTTAATTTTTTGGCGGGGCGCGGTGGCTCATGCTTATAATCTAGCACTTCGGGAGGCTGAGGTGGGTGGATCACTTGAAGTTGGGAGTTCGAGATCAGCCTGGCCAACATGGTGAAACCCAGTCTCTACTAAAAATATAAAAATTAGCCTGGTGTGGTGGTGTATACCTGTAATCTCAGCTACTCAGGAGGCTGAGGCACAAGAATCACTTGAACCCAGGAGGCGGAGGTTGCAGTGAGCTGAGATGGTGCCACTTCACTCCAGCCTGGGTGACAGAGTGAGACTCTGTCTCAATATAAATAAATAAATAAATAAATAAAACAAAACTATTCAATTTTTGAGTATTTTTTGAGACAGACTCTAGCTCTGTCACCCAAGCTGGAGTGCAGTGATGCGATCTTGGCTTTTTGCAACCTCTGCCTCCCAGGTTCAAGTGATTCTCGTGCCTCAGCCTACCAAGTAGCTGGGATTATAGGTATGCACCACCATATCTGTATACTTTTTGTATTTTTAGTAGAGACAGGGTTTCACCATGTTGGCCAGGCTGGTCTTGAACTCCTGACCTCAAGTGATCCGCCTACCTTGGCCTCCCAAAGTGCTGGGATTACAGGCGTGAGCCACTGTGCCTGGCCTATTCACTTTTTAATATTTCAAAAAACATAATGGAAACTGTACCTGTGATAAGTCAAGACAAGCTAACTTACAGGTCAAGTTTTTATGCTGTGGCTGGCATTGACTCTGTGGTGACACTAGCTCTCACATGCTGATTGACACAAAATGTAGAACCACAGGATGTCAGGGCGACATGGGTCCAGAGAGATCTTTCAGTGTAAGCCTCTCATTTTCACAGATGGGAGGACTGAGGCCCAGAGAAGTGTCTTGCTAAAAATAAATATTTGATATAGTCAACTAACTAGGGCAGGAAGGCAAAGCATGCAGGACCATGGAGAACTAACTTCTGAGGGTTAAAATCTGTAAGTTGAGGCTCTAAAAGAGGTCTCACCTGCTTTATTTTTCCTGAGATTGCTGAGAATAACGTGACACTTATACTGATGGGCAGATGACCAGAAGAACATCATCATCCCGAGAATATGGAACCACCGTGTTTGCATCAGGAGATTTTTCCCTGTCACATAGGCTACAGGAATAAGAATAGTTAGCCAACACCAAACAACTTCACAGGCTCAGGGAATTAAACAAATCATTTAGTCAGCAGAAACGCAATTATCCACTTATTCTGTTCCTCAATATCCTAATATAATTTCCCAACTACAAAGAGGGGAACCTGTTTCTCAATATCCTGATGTAATTTCCTGATGTAATTTCCCAATACAAAGGGGAGCGCCCTGTCTCTCTGGATAAAGGGGATGTGTTCCTCAGCTACTGGCAGCTTCAGTCTCCCTGGCAGAGAAGTCCATACAGATACATTCTCCTGCTTCTTCTTTAAATGCTTCAGGCACAAAGTTCAGCTCCTCTACTGTGATCTACTCTTGCATGGTAAGACTCCTTTGTGGTTCCCTTGCTAAGTCCAGTCTTAAATCTTCTTTCTTATGTTTGACGGTGAGGAAAACATTTTCTAAGGAAGTCTCTCTCTGAGCTACCATCCTGCCAGGGAGAGCCTGAAAGCAGATTGCTGACTTGACTAGCTCTGGCCAGGGAAGGAAATTACCAGTGGAAAGGCTATGAGGGAGCTTTCTCAAAAGAGGGGACAGTCAACTGCAAGATGAACAACTCGATGCTGTCCCAGTCTGGATGAGAGAGAACACGGTTGAGAAGCTGAGTTTCGGGAGTAGAAACACTCAGAAGCATCATCTTCCACCTTCTTCTCTGGCTGCTAGGAAGAAGGGAAGAACGCAGACCATCCGAGGTCCCGAGGAGCAAACCACTGGCTTCAGAAAGGCAAACAGGGACTTTCCTCTGAGCAGCAGGAAGCTGCTGCTAGCCTAGTCCGAGGCTTGACAGAAGAAACAAATGTGTCCACTGATAATGGGCATGAGCCTGAGGCTCTGGAGCAAAGGGGGAACCCTAAAAAGCTGATTCAAGCAAGAGAACCAAGGATCATATGATTGCACATGGCCACCTAGAAGCAGGAATCAGTTAATGATAGCTAAGGACTGATAAATATCTACCAGTCTACCTGTGTCAATTACTTTTAAAAACTTGTTCTAGGCTGGGCGCAGTGGCTCACACCTGTAATCTCAGCACTTTGGGAGGCTGAGGCGGGCAGATCATGAGTTCAGGAGTTCGAGACGAGTCTGACCAACATAGTGTAACCTGTCTCTACTAAAAATACAAAAAAATTAGCTGAGTGTGGTGGTGTGCGTCTATAATCCTAGCTACTTGGAAGGCTTAGGCAGGAGAATTGCGTGAACCCAGGAGGCAGAGGTTGCAGTGAGCTGAGATTGCACCATTGCACTCCAGTCTGGGTGGCAGTGTGAGACTCCATCTCAAAGAAAAAAAAAAAAAAAGCTTGTTCTATATAATCTCTTCTATAGTCTTTTAGTGTTTACAAGTTTAGACGTTTAACTACTAGGTTATATTTTTATTAGTTCAAAACAGGCTGGGTGCAGTGGCTCACACCTGTAATCCCAGCACTTTGGGGGGCCCAGGCAGGAGGATTGCTTGAGGCCAGAGGTTTCAAACCAGCCTGCCAACATAGTGAGAACCTGTCTCTATAAAAATAAAGTCAGCAAAATATTAAAAAAATACAGTTTTAAATCTGACAGGATGAAAAGTTACAGTGTCTGGAAGTTCAAGTCACTAACAAGTCCCTTACTCTAAATGCAGAGAATTGACCCATGGGAAAAAGGATTTGTGAAGAGTAACACCAGAATTATAAAGCAGGAAAAGGGAGGCAGGTGGAGGGCTCACATTTCCTGAAGTTCTGCTCTGCACAGTATTTCATTATTTGTTTATTCATTAGTTACTTAAGGAGTGCCTACTACGCCTGGCCTTGCTGTAGGCACAGAGGGTAAAGCAGGGAATAAGTCAGGCAAGATCCCAGTCCTTACGGAGCTTACATCCTAGTTTACAGATAGTCTTCTTTTCATTTTAACAAGAACCCTGTGAATCAGTATGTGTCAGTAATTACTAATGAAGGCTCTGAGGCTCAGAGAAGTTCAATGAGCCAGACGCAGGCCCATCAGACTCCAGAGCCTGTGTTATTTCTATCACGCCCTTTAGTTGGCAAATGGCCCCATGTGTTTTCGCTTACTGAAACCAACTCTCTCATATTGTCCCAAATGATCCCAGAGGACCCCTTGAAGGACAAGGAGGTGAAACAGAAAACAGCTTCAGAAAGGAGTGCTTAGGAAGCTATTTTTGTGGGTTATTCTTCCTTGACTGTCTATGCAGGAGGGAAGGCAGAAGCTGAGATGCAGCCAGTAGAGGAGACTCCGGGAGAGGCAGGTAATGCCAACAGACACAAACATGCTGAAAGCTGGGGGCGACCAAGTGCCCTGCAAAGTTCCTTTAGGAGGAGAACCAGCATTGCCCACCAGGAATGACAGCCCCCTCCCACGGTCCTGGCTGGCAGGAATGCCACCACAGACATGCCGGGGAGTACGTTCAGAGGAATCAGACAGAGAGATGCTAGCTAAGTGGCTGGAGCCAGTCAATAATTCATGAATTGAGAAAGATTGTCAATAAATCCTTTGAAATCACTGTCTTGTCAGAGGCCTTAGGTTGAGCTACAGCAACAGAGAGATGACTTTCACGGGGCACTCATGCCAAAATCTAAGCTGAGGAGGAAGCTCACTCACAGAGTGTTGGAAATCGCTAGACCACAGCCTGAATTTACGAGGAGGGACAGGGCAGCTGGAAACATGGAGCCCTGGGTTTACAGACGATGGTCATTACAGACCTACAGAGTCTGGACTGACAGATACTAAGGCTGCAAGGTCACTAACCTCGGCACTATACACTCGCTTCCATCATCCCAAGTGACTTGAATTCTTCATAGTCATGCATTGTTTTTACAAAAATGGTAGCCATATGTGTTAAAACATCCCTTCTTTCCCCCAAAAAACAAAAAACCTATTTCATTTCCTCCTCATCAACAAGGTCATGGTTTGGCTTCCCTCTTCCTGGCTAGTGAGAGCTTGGAGACTACAACATAATTTTCACTGACCACAGTGCTCTTTGTCCCCCCCACCCCCAACACCACAGCATCACTTGAAGAAAAGCTCTGTTGTGATGGAACAATCACAAGAATTAAGTGGCAACAAAATGGGTTCCCACCCGCTCTGCAAATCCCAACTCCGTGGGAGCACTCCTCTCTTCCCTCCTTCTTTTTCTTATTTTTTGAGATGGAGTTTCACTCTGTTGCCAAGGCTGGAGTGCAGTGGCCTAGTCTCTGCTCACTGCAAACTCTGCCTCCCAGGTTCAAGTGATTCTCCTGCCTCAGCCTCCTAAGTTGCTGGGTTTACAGGAACCTGCCACCACGCCCCGCTGATTTTTTTTTTTTTTTTTTTTTTTTTTTTTTTTGTATTTTTAGTAGAGACGGGATTTCACCACTTAGCCAGGATGGTCTAGATCTTTTGACCTTGTGAGCTGCCTGCCTCGGCCTCCCAAAGTGCTGGCTGGGATTACAGGCATAAACCACCACGCCCAGCCACCCTTCCCTCATTTTCTATGACTTAACCTTGCACCACAACTTCCCCTCCTTATTTCACGCACCCTCCAGGGCAACTGAGGCTTTGGTGGGGCGACTTCCTCTGCTTTCCTTCCTGCTCAGCTCTTGGCCATACCCCCTCGCTCTCCACATTCTAACCTGACACAGGTTCACCGACTTCAGTCCTTCAGGAAACCCCACACCCCATTTCTTCATCCTGAAACCAAGCCCCCTGAACACTTGGCACTTTGCTATTTTTACTGAAGACATTACTGCTTATGGGTTTTAGCAGTTATGGTGAATATCCCCTTGAACATGTTGGCTTAAAAAAATTTTTTTTTTTGAGACAAGGTCTTGCTCTACTGCCCAGGCTAGTGTGTCGTGGTGCGATCTCAGCTCACTGCAGCCTCCGTCTGCAGGTTCAAGTGATCCTCCTGCCTCAGCCTCCACAGTAGCTGGGATTACAGGCATGTGCCACCACACCCAGCTAATTTTTGTATTTTTAGTAGAGACAGGGTTTCACCATGTTGGCCAGACTGGTCTCAAACTCCTGGCCTCAAGTGATCCATCTGCCTCAGCCTCCCAAAGTGATGGGATTATAGGCGTGAGCCACCGTGCCTGGCCTTTTAAAGCTGATTTGAGTCTCATCTCCTCAAATGCAAAATGCACCGGGCCTGTCTCTTACTTTTGCATGTCTCATAATGCTTAGCAGAGCACAAGCCCCGAGGGCACCTCATACACCCTAGGGCGGGGAGTCCTGGCAGGGCCGGGCCCACTCACCATTCCTGCCATCCATTGGCACTTGGCTCAGCACCGTTAGGCCAACAAGGACATAGTAGACAAGTCCAAAACAGTACTGCACGATGTGAATCATGACACTGGAGAAGACACTGACGTAGAGGCACTCGAAGAGTCTTCGTACGCTGTGCAGCCACAGAAATATGAGCACTAAGAATGCAGACAGCACCAGCTCCCCTCCTACAATTCAGAAGGTGACAGGGTCAGCATATCTATTCTGGGATTAATCCAAAGTTTTGTTTTTCCCAACTATTAAAGCAGGGTATTAAATCCTGTCTAACATCTTCCTTTTTGGTAGCAAGGAAGAAATAGGCCAAATGAAGTCAAGGAATTTGACTTCACTCAAATTATACAGTTACACAGTAAGCTAATGACAGTGCTGGGACAAACACCCAACCCTACACTGCTTCACTGTGTGAGAGCCTTCAAGGCTTCAAGGACATCACAGTCAAGAGGTTTGTGGAACAGCTGGGCACGGTGGCTCATGGCTGTAATTCCAGCACTCTGGGAGGCTGAGGCGGGCAGATCACTAGGTCAGGAGTGCGAGACCAGCCTGACAACATGGTGAAACCCCATCTCTACTAAAAATACAAAAATTAGCTGGGTGTGGTGGTGCATACCTGTAATCCCACCTACTCAGGAGGCTGAGGCAGGAGAATTGCTTGAACCCGGGAAGCAGAGGTTGCAGTGAGCTGAGATCATGCCACTGCACTCCAGCCTGGGCAACAGAGTGAGGCTCTGTCTCAAAAAAAAAAAAACAAAAAAAATAAACCAAAGAGAGAGCTCTGTGAAGAGGTCTGGGGGTCTCTGGCCCCTGACAGCCAGAGGCAAACTGTCAGAGTTCCTGGAGGCCTCTGAGCAGCTCCAGCTGTGGGATCCCCAGCATCTCAGCCACCACAGAGACAGAGAGGGAGACAGGAAGAGAAAGAGAGTTATGCATTTGTTTCCATATTAAAAAAAGAAATTGGGCTGGGCATATTGGGTTTATGCCTGTAATCCCAGCGCTTTGGGAGACCAAGGTGGATGGATTACCGGAGGTCAGGACTTTGAGACCAGCCTGACCATGGAGAAACCCCATCTTTGCTCAAAATATAAAATTAGCTGGGCATGGTGGTGCATGCCTGTAATCCCAGCTACACAGGAGGCTGAGGCAGGAGAATTGCTTGAACCCAGAGAGGCAGCGGTTGTGGTGAGCCGAGATCACACCATTGTACTACAGCCTGGGGGACAAGAGTGAAACTCTTGAAATTACACTAAGAAATTATAATAAGAAATTATACTTTTAGAGGGATGTTGAGCCCAAGATCTACTTCCCCATCTGCCTTTCACGCCCCGCCCCCCAAAAAATCTGAAGAAAAGCTGGTTTTAAAAAAACACACCTAGTTTTTCTTTATTTTTTAATTTTTTGATTAATTATATGTGTCAACTTTATTTTATTTTTGAGACAGGGTCTTGCTTCCACCCAGGCGGGAGTGCAGTGGCACAGCCAGGCCTTGAACTCCTGAGCTCAAGTGATCCTCCTGTCTCAGCCTCCTGAGTATTAAAAACGCATGCTTTGAATGAAGAGACCCCCCCTAAACAGGCTTTGTGTGAGACAGGGTTTCCCTATGTTGCCCAAGCTGGTCTTGAACTCCTGGCCTCAAGCCATCCTCCATTCTCAGCCTCTCAAAGTACTGGGATTATAGGTGTGAGCTACCATGCCCAGTCACTTTTAAAAAATGAGTCTCACATACACACAAACACCCACACATGCATGCATACCATAAAGATACAACTTAATTAACTTTTACAAATTAAGCCAACCAATCCCACCCATATAACAGCACCCAGATCCAGAAACAGAACACTTTAGGGAACTGAGGTTGGAGGATCACTTGAGACCAGGAGTTTGAGACCAGCATGGGCAACACAGCAAGTCCCCCATCTCTAAAAACATTTTAAAAAAATTAGCTGGGCATAGTGGCATGCACCTGTAATTCCAACTACTCAGGAGGTGGAGGAGGAAAGATCTGTTAAGCCCAGGAGTTAAAGACTGCAGTGAGCTATGATCATATCACAGCACTCCAGCCTGGACAACATAGCGAGACCCTCTCTCTTTAAAAAAAAAAAAAGAAACAAACAAACAAAAGAAACAACACGACCAACACCCCCTAGTGTTCCTTTCTCGGTACTACTCCCCCAAACTTCCCAAGGGAGACAACCCCTATCCTGACCTCTATTAGCACAGATTCACAGATTAGCTTTGCCTGTTTTTGTATTTTAAATGAGTTGAAACTTAGTTTTTTGTTTTGTTTGTTTTTTGAGACGTAGTCTTGCTCTGTCTCCCAGGCTGGAGTACAGTGGTGCAATCTCAGCTCACTGCAACCTCTGCCTCCCGGGTTCAAGCCATTCTCCTGCCTCAGCCTCCTGAGTAGCTCGGACAACAGACGTGTGCCACCACTCCTGGTTATTTTTTTATTTTTTGTATTTTTAGTAGAGACTGGGTTTCACTGTGTTAGCCAGGATGGTCTCGATCTCCTGACCTCATGATCCGCCTGCCTCCGCCTCCCAAAGTGCTGGAATTACAGGTGTGAAACATAGTTTTAACTCTTTAGAAACAAGTTAAAGCAAACAACAAATAGAATTCCTCATATCCTCACATCAACTCCCCAAATACCAAAACATCCTAGCCAGTTCCACAGTATACAAACGAAGAGATGAAGTTTTAATGAGTGGAGTGAGATCCACTGATGTATCTTGTTCCCCTTAAGAGGATGTACATAGGTTTACTCTTTTTTTGAGATGGAGTCTTGCTCTGTCACCTGAAGTGCAGTGGCATGATCTCAGCTCACTGCAACCTTTTCCTCCTGGATTCAAGCCATTCTCCTGCCTCCGCCTCCTGAGAAACTGGGATTACAGGCACTCCTGATCTCAAGTATCCACCCACCTCGAACTTCTAATCTCAAGTCTCGAACTCCTGATCTCAAGTATCTGCCGGCCTCAGCTCCCAAAGTGCTGGGATTACAGGTATGAATGAAAAAGTAATTTTAAAATCACATTTCAGAAGTTCTAAGTCATGATTTTGTTTGGAACAGTATAAATGATGAATGTTTCCAGGCAAACCTGACGGATCCTAAAAGCTTTGCCCCTTTTGTGTAAAGACTTCTTTATAAAACTTATCAACAGCACTAAAAATACCAGAGGGAGGACAGCCAGTCTGCACACAGCACAGCTCTTGCCGGAAAGTCAGGAGCGCCTCTGTCTCCTTCTCAGGGAAGGGCTTAAAGACATTCTTTTGGCCATCCAGCAATGAACCATGCTCTTTTTGCCCTCATCCTCCACCTCCCAGGCCTTTCTGAGGAGGTGCCTAAGAGAGGAGACAAAATGCCCCAAACCCGCTCCCTTGTAGACAGGAACAACAGGAACAGGATACAGTGTTGTCATAAGCCTGGGAAATGCTTACCCTGGAACTGTGCCGCCCCGAGAATTCTGAGCAAACCATGAAGCCAGCTTGGAAAAGGTGCTCCCAGGAATAGAGACTGAGTAAGGCACCAAAGCAGGAAGCCATTCCACAGCACCGAGATGATATAGAAGTGGTAAAAATATCTGCAAAAAGAAAACAAGTGAGGCAATAAGTAGGGTAGATCCACTTTAAGCCATTATAAGGGAAGATTATTTTTACCACCCCTCCATTTCCAAAGCACACTTTTGCTTTTTAATAGGATCTGAATCCTGTAGGTGTTCAGATTTTTAAAATTTCCTTTCAAATAATGGGATAAGTTAACTTTCAGGAAAAAGAGGCATCTCTGAGGTTCACAAGAACAAAACCGACTGTGTTAAACTTAGAATAAAGTTTAGTTAGCAATCTCTCTGATTGCTGGGTAACAGAATTGGGCTCAAATTCCCAAAACGGAGGCTGCAGGCCCTTGCAAAGATAACCTAGATGGTGCTAAGACAAGCCAAATCTGTGAAAGATTTTGATTTCTATATCCCAAGCAATATTGCAGTAATAACCACACAACTGTTACACACGATTTGCATAATCACAGACACTTGGGCTAGAGGAAGTGCAAGATCTTCAGGCATGACTCAGTGTTTTTCTGAATTGGGTTGACCTAAATTACTTTTATTGTAACATGACTAATACTAAAATCATAAAACTAGGTATTAACTCCTTATGGTGGTAATTCTCAGACAACTACAGAGCCTACTTTGCAATCAACACATCTACAAACTAAATACAAGTAGGACCACAAAACCGATGCAGCTGAAATTAGCAATGTTAATTAAATGTGAAAGATGGTGTTGATTTGCTGAAACAAAAAAAATCACCTAATAGGGCACAAGGGCCTAGGGCCTCGCAGGTTCTTTTTTTTGAGACAGGGTCTGGCTGTGTTGTCCAGGCTGGAGTGCAGTGTTAGGATCACGGCTCACTGCAGCATTGACCTCCCAGGCTCAAGTGATCCTCGCACCTCAGCTTTCCAAGTAGCTGGGACCACAGGCGAGTAGTAGTCCACCATGCCTGACGAATTTTTAAATTTTTTATAGAGACGGGATCTCCCTATGTTGCCCCAGGTTGGTCTCAAACTCCTGGGCACAAGAGATCCCTTCCACATTGGCTTCCCAAAGTGCTGGGATTACAGGTGTGAGCCACCATGTCAGCCCCTCTTGGGTTCTTTTGAGGTCGCTTTACTTTCTATTTTTTTCTATTCAATTTGAAACCTTTCTGACTCTGTGGGGTGCCTGGCGGTCACCTGGCTTTCCTTGGTCTTCAGCGCATCATGTATATATTAAATCCCACTCCTTCTTTTCTTTTTCTCATTGGTGTATGACAATAAAAGGCAACCTGGAGCCAAAAGAGGATTAAACATAAACTCAGGGGCTCCTCCAAATGGTCCAGAATATGCTTGTAAGAGAATGCACAGCCCCTGAGATCATGTCTGATAAACTCTGATCCAATCCGATCATTCCATGGCAATCCCCTCCACTTTGCCAATTACTGTTAGCAAATTCTATCACTGGCCAGGCATGGTGACACATGCCTGTAATCCCAGGGCTTTGGGATTGCAAGGTGGGAAGATCCCTTGAGGCCAGGAGTTTGAGGTTATAGTGAGCTATGATCCTGCCTCTGCATTCCAGCCTGGGCAATACAGCAAGACCCTGTGTCTTAAATAAATAAATAAATAAAATCACTGGATTTGCCATCTCTGGCCACACAGAACAAGAATTTTAATTCCACACAACATCTCTTAAAATATTTGAAGAGAGGCCAGGTGCGGTGGCTCACGCCTGTAATCCCAGCACTTTGGGAGGCCGAGGTGGGCGGATCACAAGGTCAGGTGATCGAGACCATCCTGGCCAACATGGTGAAACCCGGTCTCTACTCGAGAGGCTAAGCCGGGAGAATTGCTTGAACTCAGCAGGCGGAGGTTGCAGTGAGCTGAGATCACACCACTGCGCTCCAGCTTGGGCAACAGAGAGAGACTCTATCTCACAAAAAACAAACAAAAAAAAACTTCTCTCTAGCCTGAGCAACATAATGAGGCCCCATTTCTACCAAAAAAGAAAAAAGAAAAAAAAAATGAAATAAAAAATTAGCTGGGTGTGGTGATGGATGCCTATAGTTCCAGCTACTTGGGAGGCCACGGCAGGAGGATTGCTTGAGCCTGGGAGGTTGAGGCTGCAGTAAGTAGTGATCATGCCACTGCATTCCAGCCTGGGTGACAAAGCAAGATTCTGTCTCAGAACAAAACCCTAAAAATCCCTCTGGCTGATAGATAAGTTCTGGAGATAGGTAGTGGTGATATTTGGATAACAGGATGAATGCTTTTAAAGCTACTTAACTATATATTAAAAAAAAACAGCTTTCTGGTCCCGGTCGCAGAAGCAATATGACGAAGGGAACGTCATCGTTTGGGAAGCGTCGTAATAAGACGCACACATTGTGCCGCCGCTGTGGCTCTAAGGCCTACCACCTTCAGAAGTCGACCTGCGGCAAATGTGGCTACCCCGCCAAGCGCAAGAGAAAGTATAACTGGAGTGCCAAGGCTAAAAGACGAAATACCACCGGGACTGGTCGAATGAGGCACCTAAAAATTGTATACCGCAGATTCAGGCATGGATTCCGTGAAGGAACAACACCTAAACCCAAGAGGGCAGCTGTTGCGGCATCCAGTTCATCTTAAGGATTTCACCGATTAGTCATGCAATAAATGTTCTGGTTTAAAAAAAACCAAAAACCAAAAAACAAACAAAAAAACCCAAACCATTTAAAAGGTAAATTTTATTGGATGTTGTGCCTACAGACACACAGGACCCAGAAGAATGTGTCAAACTATAAACTGCTTGTGATTGTGACTTTGTTCTTTGCTTCTTGTGTTTTTCAGTTTCCTCTAATGTACTTAACTTTTTAAAAGCAAAGCTTATTTTAAAAACATGTATTAAGCCCTCATTGCTTGTAGAATAAAGTTAGTATACTCCAAAAAAAAAAAAGGTTAATTTTAAGTTATGCATATTTTATCACAATACAAAAATGTTAAAAGGCAGCAAAAAAAGGCTGGATGCAGTGGCTCACACCTGTAATCCCAGCATTTTAGGAGGCTGAAGTGGGCAGATTACCTGAGGTCAGGAGTTTGAAACCAGCCTGGCCAGCATGGTAAAACCTCATCTCTACTAAAAATAAAAACATTAGCCAGGTATGCTGGCACACACCTGTAATCCCAGCTACTCAGGAGGCTGAGGCAGGAGAATTGCTTAAACCTGGGAGGTGGAGATTGCAGTAAGCCGAGATTGTACCACTGCACTCTAGCCCGGGAGACAGAGCAAGACTTTGTCTCAAACAAAAAAAAAGTTGGCAAAAGAAATCATTGCTCATATATTTCATTATTTTTTTAAGTGAAAAAATATTCCTCTGGTAACTAGGTAGAGAATAGTGTAGCTGTGGGGGTGAGGGGTGCCAGGTAGAGCCCGGCAAACAGTTAAGATTATTTATCTTCATAACAATCCTATGAAGCTTATGTAGTTATCTTCGTGTCACAGGTGAGAAACGCAGGGCTGAGGGAGGTTAAGTTACTTATCCAAGGTCACGCAGTAAGTGGCAGCACTGATGACTGTGAAGTTAAAATCATACTATTGTGCTCTCATTTATGCAACCTAGGTGTGCCTGAACTTGCTTTTCCAGCCCTATGTTAACGTAGCAATTTATAACAAATCTAAAGTCAAGCAAATCACTCAGGTGAGTTCTGTGTAAGTTGCCAGGCTACACTGTCCTGTGCTCCACTCGTGTCATGGTGTTTTTGATTCACAGGCATATTGTTTTGCTTTTTATTCCCACATTTTGTTTTGTTTGCTTGATTTCCCTCTGTACCTTTTCTATTCTTTAGAGCAAGTCGTAGCTCTTGTTTGTGTGGTTTTTCTTTGAGACGGAGTCTTGCTCTGAAGCCCAGGCTGGAGTGCAGTGGCGCAATCTCGGCTCACTGTGACCTCCACCTTCTGGGTCTTGGTTCAAGCAATTCTCCTGCCTCAGCCACCCGAGTAGCTGGGATCATAGGCATGCTCCGGTATGCCAGCTAATTGTATTTTTAGTAGAGACAGGGGTTTCACCATGTTGGCCAGGCTGGTCTTGAACTCCTGACCTCATGATCCGCCCGCCTCAGCCTCTCAAAGTGCTGGGATTACAGGCGTGAGCCACCGCACCCGACTAGCCCTTGTTTGTTTTTGAAGACCCAGCTCGAGCCCCCAAAAGCAGATCGAAAATCTCCACTGCCTTCTGTTTTGGACACGCTCCTTTTTCCCTCTTTTGGCATTTTGCTTATGTAGCATTGTTTCCCAAGCTCTTGGAAGCAGGGCTAAGGTGATTCTTACAGGATAATACAAGGTGTTGAGTGAGCACTCCCTTAATTAACAAACATTTGAGTGCTTACTTTAAGTCACAAGTGCTCTAGCTTCTGGGGATACAGCAGCAAACACAACAGACAATTCTTGCTCTTATGGAGCTTACCCATGTGCGCACACACACACACAGAGTAAATTTTATAGCATGTCAGATGATAATTGCTACTGAGGAAACGAAAGCAGAAAAGGAAGCAGGACTGCTGGGATGGCAGGATTATAATATCAAACAAAATATGGAGGGGCCTCATTGAGAAGGTGATATTTGAAGAGAATTACAGGAAGTGAGGGCATGAACCATGTGGCTATCTTCAGAAAGGCCTTTCCAGGTAGAGGGGAACAGGAGAGAAAACTAGCAGAGAGGCCCTCAAGCCTGGAATAGAGCCAGACAGGGGGCAAACTGGAGACAGTCAGGAAGGTAGAAGGAATGAGACTTTTAGAGAGGGTCTTGGGCTTTTACTGTGAGTTGGAAGCTACTCTGTGGTTTGGGGCCTAAAAGACATCATCTATTTTAATATTAATACATATTTGCTGGCCAGGCGTGGTGGCTCACGCCTGGAATTCCAGCACTTCGAAAGCCTAAGGCAGGCAGATCACCTGAGGTCAGGAGTTTACCAGGCCAACGTGGTAAAACCCCGTCTCTACTAAAAATACAAAAATTAGCTGAGCGTGGTGGTTCGCACCTGTAGTCCCAGTTCCTTGGGAGGCTGAGACACGAGAATCGCTTGCACCCGGGAGATGGAGGCTGCAGTGAGCCGAGATGGCACTATTGCACTCCAACCTGGGCCACAGAGCAAGACTTCATCTCAAAAAAAAAATTTGCTGACTGCTGGAACAGTCTCCAGGCCCCAGTCAGCGGCATTACAGGGTTAAGGAGGGGAATTAATGTTTACTGAGTTCTGGCTAGATGCCTGGCCCTGTGCTAAATGCTTTAACGTCACCACCTATGAGACCAGCAGGTGCTATTATGCTAACACTCTAATGCACACCATCACCATCTCTTGCCTGGACCACCACAGTAGCCTCTTGTCCAGTCTTTTCCACATGACGGCCAATCAACCTTTAAAACATAAACCACACAATGCAACGCCTCCCCCCACCCACACAAAGCCTTCAGTAGCTTCCACTCACTCAGAGTAACAGCCCAACTCCATTATAGGCTACGAGGCCCTGAGGAGGAGCTCTCTCCCCTACTCCTTCCATCCTTCTCTGTTGTCACTCACATCCACTCCAGTCTTGCTCATGATCAAATAACCTTGCTGGTTTCCTCTAAAGCACTTACAGCCATCTGAAATTATCTCGCTGGTTTTACAATATTTATTGACATGTTACTGTCTGCCTTCCTAGAAGATAAGCTCTAACGCGCCTAGAATAATTCCTGGCACACAGTATCTATAAACACTGGTTAAATAAATGAATGAAAGAGATGGTAAAAATCTCTTCCAAAGTTACTCTTAGAGTAAATGTCTACTTAATTAACTAATTAAATCTCAAACCTCTTTTTGTCATCCATTCAAAACATATTGACCAACATCCTTATTACCAGTCAGGGGTTAAACTAGGGATATGGTAGCAAACAAGACGAATATAAACGCACGAAAAGTTTATAGTCTGGAGCAGGGGTTCTCACCATTTCTCCATCATGGACCCCTCTGGCAGTTTGGTGAAGGCTACAGCCCTTCTCAAAATATCATACAAGCTTAAAGTAAAGCGCAGAGGGATTACAAAGGAAACCAATTACAGTGACATGTAAGTAATGCAACTACTAAAGAACAACTTTACAATATAGTAATTTCTTTCTTTCTTTCATTTTCTATTTTTTTATTTTTTTGAGACGGAGTCTCGCTGTCACTAGCCTGGAGTGCAGTGGCACAATCTCGGCTTACTACAACCTCCACCTCCCGGGTTCAAGTGATTCTCCTGCCTCAGCCTCCTGAGTAGCTGAGACTACAGGTGCACGCCACCACACCCACCCAGCTAATGTCTGTATTTTTAGTAGAGACAGGGTTTCACCATGTTGGCCAGGATGGTCTCGATCTCCTGAACTTATGATTCACCCACCTCAGCCTCCCAAAGTGCTGGGATTACAGGCATGTGTCACCGCGCCTGACCAATTATTTATTTATTTTTTATCCTGTTGCCCAGGCTGGAGTGCAATGGTTCAATCTTGGCTAACTGCAATCTACACCTCCTGGGTTCAAGCTATTCTCCTGCCTCACCCTCCCAAGTAGCTGGGATTACCAGTACCCACCACTACGCCCAGCTAATTTATTTTATTTTTAGTAGAGATGGGGTTTCACCATGTTGGCCAGGCTGGTCTCCAACTCCTGACCTCAGGCGATCCACCTGCCTCAGCCTCCCAAAGTGCCGGGATTACAGGCGTGAGCTACCATGCCTGGTCTGTAATATGTATACTTTTTAAGGTGTCTAATAACCAGATCTAGCGGTGAAAGACTAAAGTATTGTCATAGTGATGAAAACAGTAATATTTTGAGGTATCATCAATATTCTTAATGTATCTAAAAAACTATATCACAGAGTTGCAGGTACTGCTAATTCTACTGTGGTTTGTAGATTATATTCATACTTAAGGCAATGCTAAATTTCAGCTAGTTAGCGAAAATAAAGACATAACTTTCTTCCAATACAAGTTTGCCCTGGATTCTATCCACAGATCCCCTGAACCTCTGTGTATGTGAACATGTGTAAGCTCCATAACAGCAAGAATTGTCTGTTGTGTTTGCTGTATCCCCAGAACCTAGAGCAGTTGTGACTTAAAGTAAGCACTCAAATGTTTGTTAATCAAGGGAGCGCTTACTCAGTACCTTGTATTGTCTTATAAGAACCACTTTACCCCTGCTTCCAAGGGCTTGGAAAACAATGCTACAAGTAAGCAAAGTGCCAAAAGAGGAAAAAAGCTACCCAGGAGGCTGACACAGGAGAATCACTTGAACCTAGGAGGTGGAGACTGTGGGGAGCCGAGATTGTGCCATTGCACTTTAGCCTGGGAAACAAGAGTGAAACTCCATCTCAAAAAAAAAAAGAGGCCATAGATTCTTATGTCTACCCAACTCTATCTCCCTTTTTCATATCAACAGAGGCACACATTTAAAAGGAGCGTAATACATGCATTAATTCTTTTGAGACACTGCCAGCTTTGATGCAAGTTGTCTTTTTTTGTCGCAATAAAAATGCCTTTCATTTTTGGTCTGGATGTGTTGTACCTTCTATGTCTGTTTTAATTTAGAGAGAGAGAGAGGAAAAATAATAAGATCATCTGAACACTACAAGAGGTTCTACTGGGGAATTCTGGAAGAAGAAAAAGGTGTAAATTATTTCACAATACAGTAGAAATTACAAGAAGCCCAAAGAGTACCAATTGTTACAGTAATGAAGAAGGAAAAGGCACCAAGTCTCTTTCTTTGCTTGAGACTTGAGTTGCAACGGCTGGGGTATATGCAAGTTCAGGGAATGATTTTACAGGTGCCATTTAATACAGGTACACTAGACTAGCACCTTTCTCAAAACTCAGAAAATAAATTGCTGTGAAGTATAAAAGGACTGGCCGGGTGTGGTGACTCATGCCTGTAATCCTAGCACTTTGGGAGGCGGATCATGAGGTTAGGAGATCGAGACCATCCTGGCTAACGTGGTGAAACCCCGTCTCTACTAAAAATACAAAATATTTGCTGGGCATGGTGGTACCCGCCTGTAATCCCAGCTACTCAGGAGGCTCAGGCAGGAGAATCGCTTGAACCCAGAAGGCGGCGGTTGCAGTGAGCCAAGATTGCGCCACTTCACTCCAGCCTGGTGACAGAGTGAGACTCTGTCTCAAATAAATAAATAAATAAATAAATAAATAAATGAATGACTCAACCCTGATACAAATGGGATGTCAGGTAATTTTTGCTTAAAAAGTCTCCAGGAAACAGGAGGTTTGATCAATTTGTTTCACGTACTTCTCCTTCTCCCCTTTAGGGTGCCTCAAAATGACCTAGTTCTCCCTTCTCTGTGTTAACACCCGACACATCTTTCTCTGACAGCCAAAATTTGCAGATTATCCACGTTTTAGAAGCCAAGTTATACTTGTCCCTTTGATGCCTGCAGACCTGGGGCACTGTCTAGGAATGTTTCAAGTGATAACTCAGATGTTTTTAATCTTTTTATTTTGTTGTTGTTTGTTTGTTTTTTAAATACAAGGTCTTGCTCTGTTGCCCGGGCTAGAGTGCGGTGGCATGAATATAGCTCACTGCAGTTTTCAATGCCTGATCTCAAATGATCTTCCTGCCTTCATTCCGAGTAGCTGAAACTACGAGTGCATGCCACCAAGCCCTGCCAATTTTTTTGTATTTTCAGGAGAGAGAGTCTCACTATGTTGCCCAGCCTGGTCTCGAACTCCTAAGCTCTAGCATCCACCTGCCTTGGCCTCCCAAAGTGCTAGGATTACAGGCGTGAGCCACTGCGTCCGGCCTAAGATGCATCTTAAGAGGCACTGTTGTATTTCTACCATCTCGAATAGTGTTTGGCCGGCTTTTTACAGCCATGTCCTGAATTCAAAGTGGAAAAAGAAGAAAATTACAACAGGTCTCACAATCTCTGATTCTATTTAAACCCTGACGATTTAATCTTTCGCTGAACTGGGTTATGGAATCTTTCGAAAGTCAAATAGAGCTTCGGGAGGGGCCTGCCTAAGACGTGCACCTTGGGCCACCTTCCCCAGGGGCACCTGCCGAGGTGCGGGTTAGGGGCTTTGGTCCAGCGACTCAGTCCTTTGTCCCCACTGCGAGGGCTAGGGAGAGAAATGGGGGGAGCCAAGGCCAAAGAACCGGCCCGCATTTATTTCCACAAATGAGTCCCGGTGGCTCATTAGACTATGAGCCACTGGAGTGCAGAGAGGGGAAAGAGGAGAATTCCGGGCAAGGGGACTTCAATTTGCCACCTGGCGACCAGGCCTACATTCGGATGCATTACCATTTCCCCCCAGGGAAAGCCTTGGTGCGGCCACCAGTCCACGTTCCTCTGGCCGAGTGCACGCGGCTCCGCTCTCCCTCGGCGTCCGCGGACAGCTGGGCACTGCCCCCGAGAGCCACGCAGCGGCCCGGGCAAGGCCGGGGCCGGTCCAGGGAGCGCGGTGCAGCGCCCTGGAACCCGCAGGGGCCTCCCAGGCCGGGTCCCGCCTCTGCTGCCCCCTGCCGGCTGCCCCTAAACCGGGGCGCCCTGAACTCTCCGCGCCTGGACCACCGCGGCTCGGGACTGGGGCGCGGTTACCTCTTGGGGACATCAAAGGCCCGGCAGGCGGCGGGACGCGGCGGCCCCCCACACTTGGTTTTCCCATAGCGGATCAGGTCCTGGAAGATGGCGCAGCCCGGGAGCAGGCTGGGCGGCAGGAGCTGCAGCAGCAGGATCAGCAGGAAGGCAGCGGTCAGTGTGAGCCACAGCGCGCGCAGCGGGTTCAGAGCGGAGAGCTCGGCCTCCGCCCACGGAGCCATGGCCGGGAACCTGCCTTCCGGGTTGCTTGCGCCTCCACCGCCCGACCGCTGGAGAGCGGCCACTGGCGCGCCGCGCGCCTGTTCACCCTAGCTGGACGTCGGTGACGCGGCACGGGGCGAGGACGCACGGAGCCCCTCCCGGACTCCCTGCTCAGCCGCGGGAGTCTCCGGTTCCGGTCGCTCGGGTGCTAGCTAGTCGCTCGCCGTCCCTAATCTGGGCACGGGTATGCTTAAATGGAGCTCCAGAACATGATTCATCAGAAGCAAAGTCGCAAAGCAGACGAGACCACGTGTCTGCCAATCTTACTAGCATTATCTCCAATGCAAAAAATGGAAACCCTACATGTTCCACTTTGGCGTATTTAGCTAAATTATGGTACACTAACATGTTAGAAAATCATGCAGTCATTGACACAATGATTATGACGAGTGTAGAAACGCGGAAAGCTGTTTAGGAAACAGTATGTGAAGTGAAAAAAAAAGATATAAAAATACATAGCTATGATTGCAAACAGCTATATTAATCTGAATGTGTGTATATATGCATAAAGAAGGAAGATCACACACAAAAATGAATAATTGTGTTAGGATGCTGGAAATGTGTTGATGTGTATAATGTAAACATGTAAAATAGACAAGTAATTGTACATAATAATAAAAAGTATACAGGTAAAAACTCTGTTTAAAAACCGGCAGTCCCTTCCCAATCGGGTTCCAATACTTAGAAGCAAAGTTTTTAAACTCCATCAACTGTTTCTTGTAACATTTATCTCAGGTAGTGACAATGCTATTTATTGACTCGTTGATTTTAAACAATACTGATTTTATTTACTATAAATGAAAATCTAGCTCTTTTTAATCTTTAAAAGCCTTTAAAATGTTAATTCCGAGATAATGTATGCCTACTGTGTCACAGGCATCATTTTGGATACTGACGGCAGAGGGGTTTACAAGACAATTATCACTGCCTGTTTGGAGCTTACATTCTTGAGTTTGGGTGATGGGTGAGAAGTGGAAGAGGGGAGAGGTAGCCAACTCATCACCCTTACCCCGATGAGATACCCCAATGTGTGTTGAATAAACATCAGGATGGGTAGGTTAGGGGGACTTTGGATTGCTAAATGAGCAAACTTTTAGAGTTTTCCTTCTCTATGGAAGGACACCTAAGACTTTCCCAATCCTTTGACAGCCAGGTGATAAAGGATGGTGAAACTGGCATTCTAGCTAGGACAATGAGGCCTTGTTCAGTGATCCTGGGTCCCTTTTGTAGGAGTCCCCCTTCATTGTTTCTTTATTGTTCTTAGGTTAACTTCCTGAAGATGCAGTTGGCCTTCCCATGATCTTTTTCTTTCCGGAGAAGCTACTTTTAAGTGTATTGCAGGGACTCAGTTTCCTGGGTAGGTGTTTCTCTGACCAGGGGAAAGATTGAAAACAAGATAGGGGTGTGTGTGTGTGTGTGTGTGTGTGTGTGTGTGTGTGTGTGTGTGTGTTGGAAGCAGGAAGGGTTGAGGAGGCTTGGAGGGGAAAATTATCTCATATATTTTTTGGATTTTAATCAGCACGCACAGTTTATATTCAGAGAAGCCCCCTGTAGATGGCAGTGGCTGAACAGAAAGCTGTAAGTCGAATTCTCCTGGGAGTATTTGTAAATGTAAATCCTTACTAGAGTGAGTTATTTCAAAAGTGGAATACCAGGCTAACATCTGTAATATTATTGCTTATAAATATCAGTATTTTTGTCTTTCTTAATTTAATTAACTATATGTTAAAAAAAACTATTGGTCTTGCCTGCAGTGAGAATGGCAAAGCCATTTTTCCAGTTGCTCACACCAAAATCCTTGAACTCAACCTTGATTCCTGTCTTTCTCTCATAACCTAAATACAATCTGTCAGCAAATCCTGTTGGCTCTACCTTCAAAATATGAATCTAAATTCAATCACCCTTAGAGTCAGTGCTTTAAGTCCCTAGCCATCTCAATAAATCAGAAAAAGAAATAAACGTATAAGGACCGCAAAGTAAGAAATAACACTGTCATTATTTGATGATTATATGAAACTCCAATAATAGAAACTCCAATGGCATCTACAGATAAGGTATCAGAACTAATAGGACAGTTTGAGGAGGTTGCTGGAGATAAAAGTCTGTTCATAGATATTATTTCTATTTCCCAGCAACAAACTGAAAATTGTACATTTATTTTTCTTAGCAACAAACAATAAATTGTATGTTTCAAAGATACAATTTACAATGGCATAAAATATATGTCTAGGAATAAATCTAATAAAGATATGTAAGACTTCTTCAAATAAAATAATAAAAGGTTACTGTTATTAAAGAAAATGTGTTTAATAGAATCAGCTTAAGTTCCACAAAATGTTGGGGTTTGATTGGGATTATATTTATTACAAAAATCAGTTAAGGGAGAATCGTCATCTTAACCATATGGAGACTTCCAATTTGTAGGCTTAATATACCACTTAAGGTATATTTTCCATTATGACTTCCTCTCTCAATTTCCACCATTTTTGAATTATTTACTTATCTTTCTGTTACTGATTTCTAGTTTAATTACACTGTGGTCAGTGAATTTTTTTTTTAATTGTATCTGGGCTCTGGGGTACATGTGCACATCCTGCATCCTGCAGGATTGTTGTATAGGTACACACATGCCATGGTGGTTTGCTATCTCCATCTCCCCTCCCCCATCACCTACATCAGGCATTTCTCTTGGTGTTATCCCTTCCCATCCTTCCTGTCCCTGCCCCACTGTCCCCCCTCCCCTCCACTCCACCCCCCTCCACTGTCTAGCCCTGCGAGTGTTGGTCCCTTCCCTGTGCCCAAGTGTTCTCATTGTTCATCACTTGCCTGTGATTGAAAACATGTGGTGTTTGATTTTCTGTTCTTGTGTCAATTTGCTGAGAATGATGGTTTCTAGGTTCATCCATGTCCCTACAAAGGACACAAACCCATCATTTTTTATGGCTGCATAGTATTCCATGGTGTATATGTGCCACATTTTTTTTGTCCGGTTGATCATTGATGGGCATTTGGATTGGTTCCAGGTCTTTGCTGTTGTAAACAGTGCTGCAATGAACATTCGTGTGCATGTGTCTTTATGACAGAACGATTTATAATCCTTTGGGTATATGCCCAGTAATGGGATTGCTGAGTCAAATGGAATTTCTATTTCTAGATCCTTGAGGAATTGCTGCACTGTCTTCCACAATGGTTGAATTAATTTACACTCCCACCAACAGTGTAAAAGAGTTCCTATTTCTCCACATCCTCTCCAGCATCTGTTGTCTCCAGATTTCTTAATGATTGCCTTTCTAACCGGCGTGAGATGCTATCTCAATGTGGTTTTGATTTGCATTGCTCTAATGACCAATGATGAGCATTTTTTCATATGTTTTTTGGCCGCATATTTGTCTTTTGAAAGTGTCTGTTCATATCCTTTGCCCACTTTTGAATGGGTTTGTTTGTTTTTTTCTTGTAAATCTGCTTTAGATCTTTTCAGATTCTGGCTAGTAGCCCTTTGTGATGCCTCCTGCTTTGTTCTTTTTGCCTAGGATTGTCATGGCTATGTAGGCTCTCTTTTGGTTCCATATGAAGTTTAAGGTGTTTTTTTCCAGTTCTGTGAAGAAGGTCAATGGTAGCTTGATGGGGTAGCATTGAATCTATAAATTACTTTGGGTAGTATGGCCATTTTCACAAAAAGCTGACTCTCCAAAGAACGCAGTGTCTACATCCTGATGATTTCATCTCCCCATACCCTACCAATCAATGAAACCAGTTTTGCAGTCCCTTTCTCCTTCATTATCCCCTTAAAATCTCCAGCACAGAACTTCCTGGGGAGATGAATTTTAGGGTCTCTTCCTATCTCCTCACTTGGCACCCTGTGATCATTAAATTCTCTGCTGTAAAACCTGATGTCTCAGTGTATCGGTATGTTACTGTGCAGTAGGCATATTAACCCGTTGATCTTTTAAAAAGGATATAAAATATTTGAGTGCTACTAACCAACTTGATTCCATTGAAATTTACAAAATGCTATACTCAAGTACCATAGAACACACTTTCAAGTACACATAAATATTTACAAAATACACCACATTCTGGAACATAAAGCAAGTTTCAATACATTTCAGAGGACTGAAATCACATAAAAATATTCACTGATGGCCGGGCGCGGTGGCTCAGGCCTGTAATCCCAGCACTTTGGGAGGCCGAGGCGGGTGGATCACGAAGTCAAGAAATCGAGACCATCCTGGTCAACACGGTGAAACCCCGTCTCTACTAAAACTACAAAAAATTAGCTGGGCATGGTGGCGCGTGCCTGTAATCCCAGCTACTCAGGAGGCTGAGGCAGGAGAATTGCCTGAACCCAGCAGGCGGAGGTTGTGGTGAGCCGAGATCGCACCATTGCACTCCAGCCTGGGTAACAAGATTGTGAAATCATATCTCAGAAGGAAAACTTAATGTTGCATAATGTTTAAGTTTTGTTTACAGAGCAGTTAAAAGAACTATAATCTAGGGTCTACATGATTCTAAGACAGTCAACTGAAACTCCTGACCTCAGGTGATAGGCAGATGACTATGAGGAAGTGGGTCAGAGAGCAAGCTGATCTAATGACTAAATGCTAAGTGTGCTGCAAGCTTGCTTTATTTTTGTTCCTGCCCCTCCTTTCTTCACTGATTTCTTTCATAAAGTTTATAGAGATGATTTTATCTTTACTGGTATTCTTGTCTGCTTGATCTACCATTTCCTAAGGGAGATATATTAATACAAAGCAATGATTATGGATTTGTCTATCTTTCCTTTTATTTCTGTCAGTTTGCTTTGTATATTTGGAAGCTATGTTATGAGATGCATAACCATTAAAGATATTACATATGTCTATTTAATTGAGTGATCTGTGTATCTGCTTCTAGTGTGTTTTTTCCCTTAGTTTGTAGATCACAATTCTGTGCTTCACATTTGATACATTTTCATTATATGTCAGACATTATATATAAAAGGACCATAGAGATTGAAGTCAGTGTTTTCCCTCAGAGAGACCCCAACCTTTACTCTTATTCCTG